GATAGATAGATAGATAGATAGATAGATAGATAGATAGATAGATAGATAGATAGATAGATAGATAGATAGATATACCAGGGAACAAGCGAGGTTGGGAAATCACTCGGCTGAACTACAGTTCCCGACATCCCTATCGCCTGGGCAAAGCAGGGCCGCCGTTGCCTTGGAAACCGGGCCGCTAGGCCTCGCTAGGCCGCGGGGGGGTGGAAAAGGACAGGGGAGCGGGACTCTCCGCCCCCGGAAGAGGAGGAGCCCGAGTGGGCGGGACCGGCTGCCCCCTTTACCGCCGTTTCCCGCCCGCCCCTTCCTCAGGGTCGCAGCCGCTCCGTGAGGAGAGCTACGAGGTCGGCCTGTCTCGCGGGGCAGAGGGGCGCCTGGGCAGCCCCAAAGGGTGAGCGGTGAGGAAGGGGCGGCCTTGGCCGGGAGGAGGAGAGCGGGGGGGGGGCTCTGGGCAGGCACGAGGAGGGAAGGAGTTGGAGGGGGTACGCAGAGGGGCGGTTGACTGGATGGCGCGAGCTGGCTGCGGATGGGGAGAGGAGGAAGCAGGCCTCGCCAGGGAGTTGGCCTAGAATGGAATCCTTTCTCCACCGAGCTTGCGTCTGTTTGTTTAGAGAGAGAGAGAGATGAAAAACAAGAGAAGGTGTGTGTGTGTGTGTTTATGTGTATGTATGTATGTAAAAAGAGAATGTGTGTGTGTGTGTTTACAGGAATGTAAAAAAACGGGTGGGTGTTTCCGTATGGGAATATATAAAAACGTGTGTGTTTATGTAAAGAGATATATATAAGAATGCGAATTTATAGGAATATATAAAAATAACGTATGTGTGTGTTTCTAGTGAGGGATATACTTCATATGCAAAAGAGTGTATGTAGGAATATACAAAAAGAACGTGTGTATGTGTGTGTGTATAATGAGGGATATACTGCAATATAAAAGAGTGTATAGGAATATGTAAAAAGAATGCGTGCATTTGTTCATGTATAGGGATATATGTGTGTGTGTGTGTATAATATATATATACATACACACANCCTTACAGGATTAGCCCTGTAAAGTGGGGAAAAACAAAATGAGATTTCTTCCAACAACCAGTTCTCTGAACTACTTAGAAAGTTAACAACCGGTTCTCCGAAATAGGTGCGAACTGGCTGAATCCCACCACTGACTCCAGGCCCCCACCTCATCCTCCAGTATCTCCTGGAGTTTGTCCATATTCATGTTCATTGTGTCAATGATACTAACCATCTCATCCTGTCCTTTTCCTTCTGCCTTCAATCTTTCCTAAAATCAAAGTCTTTTCCAATGAATCTTCTCATTTGGTGGCTCCGGTATTTAAGTTCCAGTATCTGTTCTGTTGCTTACCAATAACAAAACCTTTAGCAACAAAATACTGGAGAAAATGACAGCATGGACTGGTTGTTTTTTTTAAACCAGTGACACTCAATTCAAGAGTTCTCAAGAATTATGTTTGAGATAAAGTTAGAGGAGAATTTCTGTAAGTTGCCTTGAGCTTTTATAGAACAGGTGAGATGCAAATGCAATAAATAACACAATCAAAATGTTTGGCAGGGAAACGGTTTCAAAGCAATATGGCCACCTAGCTAATTAATCTGGCTGCCTCATTAAGTCAGATTGTTGTTTACACTGATGGGCAGCAGCTGTCTTAGTTTTTAGTCATGTCTTTTTTTCCCCAGAATTTCTGAAAATGGCAGATTTTGACCCGGAAACATTTACATGCCAAGATACCCAGATTTACAGAAATTACCTGGGGTCTATAGCTACTGTCTATAGGTTGAAATTTTCATATCATAATATGATATGAATATAATATGGAAAAATAGGTGCTAGGACTACCTATAGTAATATATCTAGTTTAAAGTTTGGCAAAAGTTATGTTTGCTTTTATGGAATATTTCTTGGCTACTACTTCATCTACAGGTTCTCTACAATGTCAGGTCTAGATTGTTTCTACCCCAATTACTGGTAGTCCTCAACTTACAATAGTTTGCTTAGTGATCATTCAAAGTTACAACGGCACTGGGGAAAAAGTGACATTTTTCACATTCATGACCGTTGCGGCATCCCCATGGTCACGTGATTTCCATTTGGATGTTTGACGATTGACTCACGTTTATGACCATTGCAGGGGGTATACAATCCACTTTTATGACCTTCTGACAAGCAAAGTCAATGGGGAAAGCATATTCGCTTAACAAACGTGTGACTAATTTAACAACCCCAGTGATCCCCTTAACAAATGTGCCAAGAAAAGTCGTCGAATCGGGCAAAATTGCTTCTCACTTCGCAACATAAATTTGGGGCTCCATTGTAGTCATACGTTGAGGACTTACCTGTAAAATAGGAATGATTTGGTTTTTTTTAGAGTAAAGCAGTGGTAGTCAACCTGGTCCCTACCGCCCACTAGTGGGCGTTCCAGCTTTCATGGTGGGCGGTAGGGATTTGCTATAACTCTTCCCTACTTTATAAATCACCATTACTGTGGAACCGGTGGGCGGTTAGAAAATTTTACTAACAGAGATACAAAAGTGGGCAGTAGGTATAAAAAGGTTGACTACCCCTGGGGTAGAGAATTCAGACTCTACGT